TATGTTTGTTATATTTTGGCTTGGGCTTATTCCTCATGCATTAATGTTAATATTTGGTCTTTTTACTCTAATCAATATAAGACAAGCAAGACAACGAAGAATAAAGAAATTAGAAAATAAAAACATCTATATTTATCAAAAACAATATCGAAATTCTCATAAAACAGATACACAACTAATTATAGTAAGTAATTAAAAAAGATATGCAAACAAAGAATTTTATCTCATGAATAATGAAAACAAATTCAATTTTCTTCGACTAAAGTATACTTTCGAAAAATTTAGGGATATTTATTCAGAGTCTACTACGTTGGAAGTTTTTTTGAATTATGTGTTCAAACAAAAATAAAATATTGTCAGAGCAACCTTTTTATTACTAAAATATAGACTTCAGTTGTATATTTTAGCTTGATTATACTAAATACATAATACATTAAGTGATAAATCTCTAATCCAAGGATAATCGATCGTCAGCAAAACAGTTTGTCGCATTTCTATCTTTTTTTTGTTTTATTACGTAGAGTTAACTTAGGTCAAAAGTAAAAATGTCGAAAAAACAAACTTCATCAAAATAAAAAGCAAAATTCGAAAAAAAAAGGACTGTTTTTTAAAAGATGTTAGTATTGCGCGATCAATATTGGTTTATTGAATGTGGACTTGTAGCTGAGGACAAGACAAATTCGTAGCTTTTCCTCATTCACACTCTCTGCATAAAAAAAAAACAAAAACTGCATTATTTTGAATATGCACAAACATATTTCAGCCAATAAAATCTCGATTTTAGAGTAGTCTAAATTTTGATCACATGTTGTTTTTGATTATTAAGCTAATCTGTGAACATTACTAAAATGTGTTTTATAAATAGAATTCGAAATTATATGCCGAAAAATTCTTTTTGGGACTTGATCACGTTCGGCATTGTGTTTAATGTATTTATATTAATAATATCTCGAGTTTTGTTTATTCATCACTTCATATGTTTTCATAGAACTCATCATATAGAATCGTCACTATTTACATATCTAAATCTTACTAATATTTTGTTTATCTTGTCGTTATTCAATATTATTTAGATGATGTTTGTTCAAATTGGTTTAAGTTCATTATTAAATTTAACTCGAATGATTTATTATGCATATTATATTCTTGGACCATTATTTACTGGTGATGAAAAAGTCATAGGATCATTTTTAATGTCATTCACTACACTTCTCTATTATACTAATTATGTTAAATCATTTTATATTTATACATTAACAAGTCGTTTGTTTCGAACAATATTTATACAAAGAATAAAAGGATTTATTTATAAAATTTTTAAATCACAAACATTAGTAATTATGGTTCAAGAAACCATAACAGTTACTCATAGACGAACTGTTTAATAACAATAAATTGTTGTCATGTAAATATGAACAAATTTTACTAATTGGTTTGAAAATAAAAACAAAAAGAGTTTTGTCTAATTCTCTTTGTATCTATTTTCTATTGCAAAGAAAATAATTTTTAATCATCTGTAGATATTTTTACTCATATGTATACACATTCTTATTGCAATGTGAAATAATAAATAAAAAAAGATATTCAAGTTTTAATTGGTCTCAGTGGTGTTCTCAACGATTTCTCTCTGTCTTCTTTGTATTGATCAAACATTTAGTCTCGCTTATTTCGATCCGCAATTTTTTTTTTAGAAAATAAAAATAGAACCTAAAGAAAGTCATATGTTGAGATCATGTTTAAGCTGCGGTCTAAAAGTTCTATTCTACTGTGCATGTGAATTAATCAACTAATCGTAGTAAAAATAAAGATAATATGCTTCTCAAAAGAAATGAAAAATAGGTCAATCTCTATTAGAACATAATGGTAACTTCCAAAATAAACAAGTATGTTGTTTTGTTGAAAAGTTTAATGTCTGAACTACAACGGATGAGAGGTTATAAGGTCGTAAATCAGTGTAAATGACCTTTGCCACTGGAACTCTTGCTGTTTTTCAGTAAATGAAAGATCACTTTAAGATTAGCATTTAGGGTGAGAGAAATGACTATTTTTCAACTAATAAGTAAAGTATACACCCGAAGCATTACTTTTTTGAAAACCTCGAAAACTCATCTTTAGCTTTTCGGATACATTAGTGTGAATATTAGACCTCTTCAAAAACAAGAGTAAACATCACTATTCTTTTATCATGAAGAGCTCTTTGCATTAGCTACAAAATCTAGAAATGAAACTTCAAATATCGATGGGGAATGACATCTTAAAGAAACACACTGCCATTGAAGCGCTAATTTGAATTAGTGATCAATAGTATTTCGATTATCTATCGTCGAATAGTCTTCAAAATAAAAAAATAGCCAACACGAGAATCGTGTTCAGCATAAACAACTGAGTCGATCTATGTATGTTCTGAATTTGTATGATAATTTGATCTTCATGGAAAAGATCGACTCGAGTTCTCTCAGAGATATGTAAAAACATAGATTTCGTTCAAATCGATATCTTGACATTAAAAGCAAATTCTGAACGAGCAATATCTCCATTTAGGTCATAAGAAAATATATCTAAGTAATTAAAAAAAAGATTCCGGACGCACTTATTTGTTGGCTTGTCTCTCAGGTGGACTTGAACCGAATTTTTTGACATAAACAAAGATTGCCGTAGTAATTTGAAAAATACATAGATTAACTCGATCGTTCATGCTGAACACGATTCTGGTGTTAGATGTGCTTATTTTGAGTAATATTAAAGAGTGTAGATGTGGGTGCAAATCAGAAGAAGAGATAGCACACTTACTATTACACCCGCCTTCACACCAGCATTCAATGAGATATGTTTTAAAAGTTAAATTTATAGTTTTTTACACAAAAACCAGAGTTATCAAGTAGAAGAGTCTAAAATTCAGAAAGATTTTTCAGGGTCAGTTTTAACTACTCAAAGTATGTTTATTTCAGTCAAATTATTAACAATGTTATTCTTCATCTTCCCCAAATATATTTTAATAAGAAAACGAAAATAAATATCCAAACATAATTAATTCAACAGATAACAACTCTTAAAAAACATACATTTCGATATTAATCAGCGTGTTGTTTTCTAATTCAATGTTTTTCTTTCGAACAAGTAAGTTTCACCAGTTGTTGGATTCTATAAGAAAAGATATAAGCTTCTTTAGAAGATAAAGATGAGTTTAAACACAGTTTTAATTCAACTGTCATGATTCTGTTGACATACAATTTCGTTTACCATCGTACAGATATTCCTGTATAGATAAACCTTTGTCGACATACGTATGACTACATGACATTGTTAGTCTCCGTGAGCATCATAACAGTAGATTATCAATTCTTGATAGCAATAGAACACATGTGGGCAACATACAAAAAAACCTACTCAATTTTCTTAGAGCCATTATTTAAAGCTTTCTCAATGCTTCCAAGTCTTGTTTGCGTGAAAAAAAGATAAAGACAAAAAAAGAAAGTTTCCATTCGCTTTGTCCTGTTCTGCAACGTCTGTAACTCAGTGATGTGTCTTTAATTTCAGCGATAGAGGCCAAAAATTAATTTTTTTCTATATAGGATTAACAAATATTTCCGAAAGGTTTAATTAGCTTTGAAGCTTGAATTAAGCTTTATTTTGTTAGGAAAATTTGTTGTTAATAACATTGGTTTTTACTGAGTCGTATTGATATTCATGGCGTTCTATCTTGCACATGGGCAAGGAAAGTTAGGTACCGGTAATAAACTTCATCATTAACTGTCTGAGAAAACATTCAAACTCAATTTGAATGAATTGAAACTCATTACGAGCGAAACTCAAGACTAAATACTTAGCGATTAATATTCTAAAACCCTGTATACATAACTCACGTTATCAACCTGATGATTGTGAAACAAAATCAAACTTAGAATTTCTTAAATTCGAATATTTTGGACAAATTATAATTTTTCTGAAATGATTATAATCGGCTTAAATCGAATGCGTAGACATTAACCGGTTTTAATAATATAAATGTATGATACACCGACATCTCGCGTTCGGAGGAGAAATCGTCATTTTTCTATCATGTTTGTGCCATTAATGCTAAGAATCTATCAAATCACTACTAAGCTGAACCCATCAAAACATAGATAGTGTGAAATTCTTGCAGAGGTTCTAAAAATGAGACGTAACAGCTACATTTAAAAGATAGAGTTAAAATGGATTGATAGTCATCTTAAGGGCCCCTCTCACGAACAAACTTTTTTTTATTTTTCATGGAATTCAACCAAAATTTCAGAGAATGTTAGTCTTGGCTAGAGTAGATTATGGTTAAAATATCTCCTTAAATCTGCGAGATGTTCACGAGCTATAGTCAATTTATTGATCATAAGTATCCTGTACGCGGGCAAGGCTTTCACAATCAGGATACGAGCTAATATGCCAGGACGGTTTTTAAGTTGTAGAGTACCCTTAGCGCTGGATCCTCACAGAGCTTCGTTTTTGAAATTTTCTTTGTTTATTTTTTAAACAGTCTTTTCTGAAACATTCTCAAACTCATGGGCAAAAATTCGCTGATAAAAATGACTTATGTAAGTTTTTTCGTCAATACAGAAATTCAAAAATCGGGCTCTGTGAGGATCTAGCCCTAACTCTTCTCTATGTAATAAAAGAAATTATCACTTCTATATTGAGTCGTTGTTGAGTAAGGTCTGTCCGTACAAATAGTATACTGGAAAAAATGGATTTTAAGAAAAGCGAAAAATAAATTTTTAAAAACTCTATTTTTCAATATGAAGGTTCAGAAAAACTTATTCAATATCCTTAACACTCATCATAAAATCAATCAACTATAGTGCATTCGAGAGTAGGCATTTTGTTCTATCTAATGAGCTATTAATCACAAAATTGATAAATTTAACAAAAATTGACCTTGTCTGAGGGGGTCTCCTTTAAGTAAAACAATTTCATCCATAACGGCTCTGATGTTGAATTTTATTTCAAAATATATCTGATAAGATGGTACTCTAATTAAGTTCTTCTGAAAAAGCAGCATTGATAAACGAAAACACGTCGTTAGGACAACCGGTCACTTGGATTTTAGGTTCTCCTCCCTTTTTTTCAGTCCATGCTTTATGATATTCAACTTGAACACAATAGATCATTATCGGAATCGTTGATCTTATGGCTTGACAACAGTCTATAAATTGCTCAGCTTCATTGCCTCCATTGGTTAGAACAGCGCATCGCATCAATGGATCATTGAGTTTACACATTAGAATGTTTATAGCGTCGGTTGATGATTCACATCCATAAATATTAAAACCATATTGCTGTTTCAGGGTTTGAATGAGAGTTGGATTGGATCCATTAGCAATTTTGGCATCGCGCCATACGACAAAACGGTTTACAGGTCGTAGTCCAGCAATGATCATCGGAAAAATTTGCTTACTTTCTTTAACAGCAAACTCTTCATAAACATTATGTTCTCCTGCTTGTATTAGATAGCCAGCGTCATTCACTTGTGCGTAGTGACTATCTGCATCTTTTCGGATTTCTTTTCCTTTGTAACTCATATCTTTGACATGGAATATTCTTCCAAGTTTAACGAGGCAGCACAACAAATAGATGATACGATGCTCTGATCGTGTATAAGTTACACAATAATGAGGTGAGCTGCTGAAATAGATACCACGACCATACCAACCATTATCAGTACGTCGATTAATAATTGTGAAGTTCTTCAAATTATCATCAAATATATCGTCAAAGTTAGTCTTCTTTGTTCCATGAAACAGTATTCGCTCTTCGGTATCTATCGAACACATCGAATAGTTATGATAGAGCACTTCGTTGTGAACAAGTGTAATATTTTCGATCACATATTCTTTTGGCGATTGCTGAAAAGTATGTAAAATACAAGTGGTTATATCTTTACTCTTTCCTCGTAAAAATTCCGTCATAGATTGATCTATAATAGCTGGTTGTTGAATGAGACGAAGAGCCGTATCGATGTCTTCAGTTGTCAATTTGATGTCAGATTCATTTAAATCACTGGTCATATCAAAATTTTGCAATTCAGCACAGATGTGTTCCGTTTCCACGACTTTATTAGCTGATTTCTTTCGAGCCAATAAAGTTGCAGCTTTGCTTGCTGGGGATACTAATACTTTGATTTTTCGCTCAATTTTATGCAAACTTTTCTTGGAGACACTTACACAAGTGGAAAATTGAAGTTTTAGCTTTGTACTGCCTTCTTCAGCACTTACAATAAATATATCACGAGGATCGATTTCTAAATCTTGTGCAAAGTATTCTAGAAATTCATCCCAGTCGAAATTATTCGGAGGTATGGGTAACGTAAGCCGAACAGTGGGTAGCCTATCGGTAGCTCGAGGACCGGAGATAGGCACGGCTATCAAGACCGTCGAAGACTTATGATAAGTTTTAGATTTATGACTGATAATTTGCTCTGTCAAGGGTTTTAAAACGTTCGGAAGAATCTGTTCAGCTGTCGAAGGGAAAGATATTTTGAGAATTTTCTCAAAGATAATTTGTTCTGGCGAAGCAACTATCATATATGAACCAAGACTATTGGGCTTTTCGATTTGACAGGCCAGTTTCCAGCGTAGCTTCAGATGAGTGTTGTCCGATGTATGCAGCGTATTGATGAGACCTGAATCTTGAACTGTGTCGTTGTCTTTTAACACGCGACCATTGAACTCAAGATAAAAATTATCAGGTGTCGTCCCAGTAGAAAATTTTTTGCACATGTCAGCAATGAGCTTCTGAATTGTCCAGTCAGCACGAGTGTCTACCCGATAATAAATACCGGTCGTTGGGAAATAGATAGTAACAACATAAAGTGATTCACATGAGTTGTTCTTCATTTTAACATATATCTGCAATGATAGATTTTCATATTCATCACATTATAGAGAATGCTAAATTTGTCCAGAAATGTCTCGTATGACTGAAAAATCACTAAATGGAAGCATCAGATCCGATCTTCAGTGTACGAGTATGGATTAACGAATGACTCATCGCATATTCGTACTACACATATACGGATAGAAAGCTCATCATTCATTCGAAAAATCAAGCTGGACAAAAGTGTGCTAGAAACTTGAACCTAATATAGAAAATGTGGATGTGAACATAAATGAATAAAGGGTAGACCTAAACCTAGAGGCAATGTACGATGATTTATTGCATCTCTGGTATTCGAAGGTTGCCCTCTATGATAGTGAACCTTTTGCATAAAATATAATCGATAACCATCAACAGAGAGTTCGTTTATATTTTCTTACTGCCCGGAGTATGTATAGATACGCTTATCTTTGCTGAAAAAACGATGATCCAGATCCTATTTTCGGCAATGGAATTTCCTTTGAGAACAGAAGAAATTTTTGATAATGCCAAATGTTGCATTCTTCTTGAATATTGCTGATATTTTTATCAAAACTATATATTTGTTAGTCTTTTCGAGATGATTGTTGTTTCCGGTAGACCTAAGACGTTCAATCTGTCCACGAAACTAAAATTATCCTTCATCGAAGGAGTCATTAGATTGAATCATTATTGGAAAACTTATCTGTCTCGCCAAGTTCTATTAAATACTTTGAGAATCTTTTACAACGGGATTTTGAAGGTTTACATTCGATAGGTTAAGCCCTCCTTTTTGAAATTCGCATCGATGGATACATCACGTTGACCTCTATCAGGCATACCAACTTTAGGAGGTACGTACACTGCAAGGTGAATTGTGGAAGAAAGTAAGACGTTAAGGATTATAGTTAGACTAGAGGTGATCAATTTTCATTTACGAAAATTTATTAGATCGAAAAATAAATTGTGGATAATTTAAATTTAAAATCAACCAAAATATTTTTTATGAAGGAAATATAAATTTATTCCAAATTTAAATCCGATTTAAATTCTTGGAAATTCGAATATAAAATAAACTAACAGGAAATCACCACCCTTAGGTTAGACGAAAAATGTGGAAAATTTTCGAATTTCCGGCTCGTTTGACAGATCAAATAAGCTGATTCATATATTATTGGGTCAAGCTCATTAAGTTCTCTATCACACATCACAGTTCGTTTGCGGCGCGATTTCAGAAAAGAATCACCGCGTGTATGGTATAAATAAAATACGATCTGACCTACACTGAGCGTCGTTTTAGTACGGACTTACAGCAGTCGAAAGTGCTTGAAATTTTGAGTGTACTTGATCCTACTGTAAGTCCCTTTATATAAGATTTCACGAAAATAATATGCAAAGCCTTTTGAAAGTGGCCCAGTCTGACTCGTTCTGACTCACTCTGATTCATTCTGAATCATCTTGAGCTAAAAGTTTAAAAAAACAATAAATGTTTGGAAAAGCTACGTTATATGAATTTGTCATGACTCTCTTATGCCTCCGCTAGTTAACAAAACATGTTGCAGAGCCATATTTTATTTAACTTTTTGAACATTCATTGTTTTTTGAGCTTTTGGCTCAGGGTGGATCAGAGTGAGTCACTCTAAAAAGGTCTAGCATTTTGTCTTCATGAAAATATTTCCAAAAGGGTTTAGAGTAGGATCTAATAGACTCAAAATGTCAAGCTTTATCGACTGATGAAACTTCTTACTAAAACGGCGCTCAGAGTGAGTCAAAACGTATTTTATTAACACCCCCGCGTGGAATACCCGAATCTGCTGCGAACTTTTCCGATGTTGTCTCAAGCTCTCTCTAACTTTTCATAACTCAACAGTTCCAAAATAAGAGACGTCATTCTTCTTTTGGTTCATATTTTCTGCAACATTCGTTATCCTTTTCTCTTTATGTTGCCACCGTTGTGAGTTCATGAATCATATTGTTCTTTCGACTTCGTGGCTGGCTGTGCATCGATGTGCGCATGGACGAATGCGAATGTCGGCGCCATCTTTTCATCGATACCCACGCACCCACATCCACTATCAATAAAACTGAAAAGAAAATTGAAGCCGTATTACAAAAACCTAGCAATGGCATCCGAGTGACCGTCTTTTCATCAATTCACTCAAGTTTGTTCTCTTGATCTATATTTCGCGTTTAATGTATTCTATTTTTGTTTGGAATTTGTTTTACCAAGTATGCCTGACAACACGTTCATAGACAACATTTCTTGGAAACCAGAAAACATTTGTTGATTGACTCAACTTCGTACTGCTTCCCAAATGAAAAATCTTTTATGGAACCAACTTTAGTATTACTATCAAAGTCTACTTCAAATACAATGAGGTATTCGTAAAAGATGATAACATCTACTCACATCACACGAACACTCATCAGCATTAACAAGTAAGCACCAAACATTATTCGAACAAATGGAGCCGTTCTTGGAATGTGTAAAGGAGCTTGGCTGTGGTGCTAGTGATTACTACTGAATACTGATTGGTATTAACATTTTTTACTGATATTCAGAACAATTGGTATTGACGGACGATCTTTTGTTCTTTTTCTTACAGACCTTCCGCTAAAGTAGGCATAAAAGGAAAGCAGAACCTCTTGCTCATCGTGGATAGCTCAAGGAAATGATATACTGGAAAACTGCTGAGGCAATATCGCTGCAACTTAATTAGTCAGCTCATAATAAACGTGATCTGGTAGAATTTTGTCAGTTAGACAGAAAAAAATACTATATTACCGTTACGAAGCGGGTGTGGGTGTGGGTGTGAATGTTTTCTTTTTCACACTGTTTAACAGCCATATCAGCATTCACACCCACACCCTTAACGCATTTTCGCGTGCTCGGTTGTTGAATAGAGTGCATCTTTAGAGAAAACAATCATACTTCATAAATCTATGTTGCTCTAAGTATAATTTAGGCAAATTCTTGTAATAATTCATCTAAAGTGTCCTTCGAACAAACTGGACTTATAGAATATTATTATTTTCTCTTTAAGAATACACTCAATACGGAAAACAAGTGTTTACTAACGTGTAACGATATGCGATAAAAATTATTCAAGATTTAGAAAACTCGTCTAACTAATGCGCGTTCTGTGAAAGTAGCATATAAAAAGATTTTTTCATAGATTTTGGGTCATTTTCAGCCTTTTCGTATTTCTCAAATATATTGTAAAGTGGGATAGACTGTTAAAAAAATTTTTTTAATACCTGAACTCTCATCTAAAATTCACTGTATTCAATTGACGTCATTGTTAAGATAGTGTGTTATTATAAAACATGATTAAATATACTTAGCAAGTTTTTCTTGCTACTTTTTTGTTAAGATTAGAAAAATATTTTTTTGTGGTTAAGATAAAAATATACTGAAAGACGGCGAAAAACAAATTTGATAAAATTCTTTTAACAGTTTTACCAATAACATACTCGCTTAATAAGAATGACAGTTGAGTAAAATAAATCTTCCATGATAACTTAGATATTACTGTGAAATGAATATATATTCCATGTCTGTCCGACTTCGTATATTCGAGAAATACCAAATTAATTTCAAAATAGGCCCTAGTCTTATGAAATGCATTAATGATGTCTAACGACAACTCTTCGCTGCTTCTTTATATTTTCTGACACGAAAAAAACTAAATAATGACAATCATATTCTTTCTAAACGACGTGTAGAAAGACGGTAGGCCGACATTATCGGTAATGTTCGATCGCTTCACATGCTTCTGCGCTATCTGGATCAGATTAGAAGACTTCGATGACGGAACTAAAAATATAAAGACTAACTCTTATTCAGCCACTCATTTGGTTTACCAATATACTATCTATATAAAATCTTGACTGATTTATACGAAAAAAATATACAATTAGTTGCCAAAAAATATGTCAAACAAAGGGATGGATGGAAATGGAAAGATTAAGAAGAGAGAACTAGTTATTGCCATGAGTGACAGAGAAAAATGGCATTATCATGCAAGGTAGAGATGACTGAATGGATGTTTTCCTCAAACGATTGAAAAGTTAACAGAAACGATACGGTGATGAACAAAATAGGACGGAAGTAGTGGCATAAGCAAGAGGTGGCGGCGCCGTTCCATCCGAGCTTTTTGCCCCCTCTCCCGCC